TTTGTTATTAATAATAATAAAAATTTAGATGTGAAACCACTACTTCTCATTTGGTTTTTTGACTTTTATTATAATCTTCATAATATCTACTCTACAATAAGAGTCGGATAAAAGACATTATTGCATCGTTTGTTATCGAGGTAATCGGATTAGACCCCAAAGTTAACAAATTGTAGTTTAGACTCAATACAAACACAGACACACGAAACATGGAATGATTGAGTGAGAGCTTGCGGACAGCGCGGTGCGAGGAGGTCAAGGACACCCTCCCTCCTGCACACACGCACGAACACACACGCAGCGCCCCGCCGCCGCCGCCGTCGCCGCCGCCGCCGTCGCCGCCGCCGCCGCCGCTTCCGCCACGCCCGCTCCCGCCGCCGCCCGCACGCCTGGCGCTCGGGGGCCGGCGGGGCGCGAGGGCGGCGGCGGCGGCGGCTGCCGTGGGGGGGAGGGCGGCGCGAGCCAAGCACCAGAGGGCGTAGCGGGCAGCAGCAAAGTGACGCCTGCAGGAGGGCGTGTGGCCGTGGCGTGCGGGCCAGGGAGGTGCGGCTGCACCCGGCAGCCCGTCAGCCGGGGTGGGAGAGAGGCGTTAAACCTATGAGGCTACAACACACAAACAGGAGAAAAGGTTACATTACATATACAATAAATCCAAGTGCGGAGGCATGCGGAGTCGGGCTTTGGAGGCGGCCCCGCGGGCGGCGGCGGCGGCGGCGGGGGGCCTGTGGGCGTCCCAGGGCGCGCGCGGGTGGTTTGTGCGATGGGCGGGCTCCGCCCACACGGCCGCCCCGCACGCGCGCGCGCCCGCCCGCCCGCAGGACCCAAATTTTGTCGAGAACTTCGAGTCGAGGGCCTCCGCCTGCTCCACTCTGAGAGCAATAATAATGAACAATATTCAAACTAGACTTGAAGAATATACAAGAAGATGACAAATAGATACAATAATATATTATAAATTACGATACTAGATACGCGGTAAAATGCAAACTGAATGCATCGTAATCGACAAACACATTGACAGACTGGGTGTTACAACGTGTGTGCAGCGCGCGCGCGCCCGCAGCCCCGCGCCCACGCCCGCCGTCGAGGGGCGCCCGCGGGGGCGGCGGCGGCTCCGGGGCGCTGCGCCGCCCGCGTTACTAGGACAGTGTCCGCCCCGCCCCTCTCGCCCGCCGCGCCCGCAGGCCTGGGCGGCCCCGCGGGCGCGGCGGCGGCGGCGTGGGCGGGGGAAGCACCGGGGAGTTTGCATCCGTAAAGTCCTTCACTCTGTGGCGCGGCGCGAATGCGGGCGGCGCGGGCGGGCCCGACGCCGGGGGCGGGGGCCGCCCGCGCGCCCGACGCTCCGCCTGAGCAGGTAGACTACCAACCGTCCAACAACGAACACCTGCGCCCAAACGTTTCTTTTGAACGAACAGTTTTGAGATCCAACTGTTAATGCACCTTTGGTCACACGGAGTCTACAGGATTTATCAATACACGTGTTTACCTTCAGAAGTAAATAAATCCTCAAACCAAAGCTCTGTGGGTACTGACTCCCCCAAAATGTATTCAGGGAGGGAGCGCGGCCGACGGGCAGGTGCTGCGGGCGGTGATGGCGTGAGGGGCGAGGTGGGCGCCCCTCCTCCCCCCCCGCCACGCTCGCCCTCCCCTCCCCCCGCGCCTCCCTCCGCCTCGCCTGGCCCTGTCCTGTCTCCCCTTCCCCTCCCCCCCACGCCGAACACGCGTCTGCGCACTTTGTGACCTCGGGGCCTGAGGTGACCTGCTTGCGAGTCAAGAATCTCTGGTTCCCTTCTGACAAGTTCCCTGCAGTGCTGAGCGGAGGTATGCCACGCGCAATACCCATAAAGAGACTAGAAAGTTATTCACCATATCACAATGAAGACAATCTCAAGACGTTAGCATTACGTTAAGTACTGCGCTCATCCTTACGACAAACACGATCACGCGAGCCAGTTGCCGTTTCCGCGGCGCCAGAAGTCCGTTGCATTCACGAGGAAAGTCTCCATTTAAGTAGCTAGAAATACGTGTGCGCAGCGGCGTGGGTTGGGGTGCGCGGTCGGGGGGGACAGTCCATGGGCGCAGCAAGGGCTGCAGGGAGTGCGGCGGGGTGGGTGGGTCGGGCGCAGTGTGGGCGTGATAAAAAGGGGAGGCAGGCGGGGTGACTTGACTTTGTTCTTGATTTTTGTTCTTCCTTGCCTTGACACGGCGACGCCCCTCACTCCGAACACCGCCGCAAATATATATATAATCTATATTTTATTTCCCTTTTTGACACCACCGCCCACGCCTCGCTTCGAGTGGCCTTGTGACAGACGAACGCAAATACTGGTAAGAGGGGAAAGGAATGTTATCTGCTGACCTGCGTTTCTCTCTCTTGTTTTAACAGCAAATCTATTCAACAAGAATTATCTTTTTATGTTTAAAATCTTTTTAATCTATCTTTTATCATTAATCTATTTCGTTGATGATCCATAGAGGGGTACAGTATATATGAACAGGGGCGATAGCAGTCTTTCTTAATATAGTCTCATCATAAAAATACCATCACCAAAACTACTTTCCAACAACCCTATTAACAAAACACCTCACAGGTATTTGGATATTTCACTCTTTCATCTCTTTTTTTTTTGGTTATATATATATATTTTTTTATGTTTTCTCTCTATAAAAAAATCACATTTTCCCAGAGCCAAAAAAACCGGCGGCAAGACACGGCAACATCAACCATCCCGGTTTCAACGCGATCCGTCTCCCTCTCGAACAGCAACAGCCCACTACCTTGCAACTTTAATCCAAAAATAGACTCGGTTAAATAATTGGCACTTCATCAACCTTTTAGTAATTTTTTTGTGTGTTTCTGCCCTTTATTCTATTTATTTACTCTTTTTTTTGCAAGAACCTTTCCCGAGTCTATATGCTCTTTATTGAACTCTTTGTGTGCGAGAAAAACTACTCTTTCTTATATAACATTTTTTTTATGTTCTCTCTTATCGCATCGTTTATTTTGTAAGCTTTCCCTCGTCTAAGAAGAATGAAAAAAATCAGATCTCTAAACACACGGATGTTGATTGGTGGCTTCGACAAAAATCTATATATATATATATATCTATCGAGGGCTTTCCTTCCGAGTCCTGAGTCCGGCCCCCACAGCGCAGTCGTGACGGAGCCCAACAGTCCGGACACTTGCCGACGCACAACAATGTCTATCGGAACATCATATATATATATAGATATATATATAGATATCTTATATATATATATATAGTATAAAAAAAACGATAAGACTCATTGAAAACCCTCTATGAACTGAAGAACAACCAGAGTCTTCGCGTTATTTCCGGGGACTTCTGCGGATATATAAAGGAGTGGTTCCGAAGTCTACAGTCTTGGTAGAAAAATCACCCACCTCAACACGGGCACATGAAGTCACACACACACACACACTGCCCGGGGCCGGATGTGACGCATGTGCTAACGGATGTGCTTTACAAAAGTCGCCCTTACAAATGGGGCGACTAGGAGCGAGATTCCAAAATCAGACTGCAGAGTACGGAGCCCGAATCACAACACTGCCATCTACATACGCTTAACATATTAAATCGATTGTTGCGGGAATGTTATTTATGTAAGGTTCGGTATCTAAATTTCTGTACAAAAATAGACACATTTTTTTTCTCTCTCAAGACAATCTTTTTTTATTTATTTATTTATTTATTAGGTTTGCATGGAAGTTTTTTCCCTTATCCTTACCTTGATAGCAGATTAGTACAGACGGGTTTGGTCGCATCAGACGCGTTTCTGATCTGACTTGCTTGCTTGCTTGCGCACAGGGGGAGGGTTCAACCTTTATCTCGTGTGTGCTTTCGGAGGCCGGGGACGCGGGGCACCTTGCACAAAGCTTTTGTCCCATAATCGCTACGTTCAAGCTTTGCTCTCAGCATCAACGTGGTTTCCTTTTTTTCTTTTATTTGTATTTTTCTCCCCTTCTTTCTTTCTATTTTTTTTATATATATATTAGTATTTGTAAATAGGGAGCATTATACGGGCGTAAGCATCATGAACTATTATATACATTCACTTTGCTTTTCCTTTTCAATCACTGATATTTTCTTTAGTGACAAAAAAAAAAACTTTAGCGCCCGTTTCTATAAAAAAACGAACACCCACATCAGATATCTCAATACTTTTAACAAGGCGGCACCGTGAAGGGGAGACCAAGGAGATAAACAATGAATCCAGCGGCCGCTTTCCACTACAAGCTAATATTTGTGCGACACTTTTTTTTCCATTAAAAGACAAACAATGAAGATAATGATGACGACGAAGACTTTGCCCCAGGATGTAAAACCTTTGTGCCAAAGTGCCCCGTTCTGCCCGTCCTCCGCTTGCGTGGTTTTATCCTCAAAAACCCCAAACAGAATTCCCAAAAAGCAAAAAAAGAAACGAGTGTACCAACTCAAGGCAACGGTTGGCAAGCCTGTCTGGTGCGCCGCTGGGTCACCACACGCCCACTTCTCGAGCTTCGCTTTTGGGTTGATTCTTATCAGCTTTTTGGCGTTATTCTTGCTGGTTTGATATTCTTTGTGGATGTTATCTTTTAAGTTTGATTTTTTGAAAGCCTTCTTTTTTTAAGACACACTCACCTGCAGCTCTCTCAGGCATCTCGCTCAGGTGGGCGGCGCCGGTGGACTTGGCGTGGGCGTGCGGTGAGCGGCAACACAGCCCAGGGGCAGCTGCGTCCCCCCCTCTGGCCGCCCGCGTGCCGGCAACCCCCGCCCATCCCTCTACGCCCCCCCGCGCCCGCGAGCGTCCGAGGACGGCGAGCGCGGAGCAAGGGCGCGGAGAAGGCGCGTGGGCGTGCGGCGGGGCGCGGGCGGCCATGGGCGGCACGGCAGCGCCTCTGGCGGTGAACAGAGACATTCCCGTGCTGAAGCTTTACCGTACGTGTTAGTAGGGAACTAAAGGGAGAACTCAAGTCTGAACTAAATAAAAACGCAAAC